GCTTTTATAAAGAACAAATACTGCTTGAACAAATATTGTTAACCTCAGACGATAAACTAATTAAAAAGTTATATAAACTGCTTTTTAATTGGAAAATGGAAGATGAATAGGTGAAAGAAACAATGGTGCAATGGGCTAAAAAATTTGGGCACAATATTGAACTGGAGAAATGGCAGAAATTGTGGAATAGAAATTGTAAAATAACACTGACAACTTCGTATAAAGAAAATCTTCATAAAATGTTTTATAGATGGCACTTACCACCTGCCAGGATTGCACAAATGTTTCCAAATATGTCTAGTAAATGTTGGAAATACAAACAAGAAGTAGGTACCTATTATCATATATAGTGGACATGTGAAAAAGCAAAAAAAAAAATTGAAGTAAAATACACACATGGTTGGTTAAAATGCTTTAAAAATGTATAGATTTTAAACCAGGACTCTTTTTATTAGGTATTTTACCAGAGGACTTTGATAAACAATCGGTTTACATAACACTGCATATTGTGACAGTAGGTAGGATTGTATTTGCACAATATTGGAAAAACGAAGAAATGCCAACAGAGGAAGAGATAATTTTTAGAAATGGATAGGCTCACACTAAGAGCCGCCTAGAGTGGTCTGAGCTGACTAGATAGGCAGGATATAAATAAAATAAAATAAAATAAATAAATAAGACTGAGAGAGAAAGAAGATTCAGAATATTTTAATACATGAAATTTGTTCTACAAATGGCTAGAAGATCGGAGATGGTATTACGTCACCAAGACATGAAAATAGATAATTATAAGCACACCCATGTAACACAATGTTTAACAGGCATGAATTGAATGTAGATATAGTGAAAAACTAATAAAATGTTATTTTTTTAAAAAAATGCAACCCTCACAACCATATCCATATAGGGTTTCTTCAGTTCTCAAGTTAGACTCTTGGGTGTGGGGAAAAAAGCACAGGAAACCATCAGAATAGGAGCCTTCTCCTATGAGGAAATCCAGGATAAATCTTATGATTTATCCTGGATTTCCACCTATGAAAGATAAACCTTTGGTTTCTAAAAACGTCTCAGACCAATTGACAGTGCCTACATTTCCTCCCCATTCCACCTGGGTGGACCTTGTCAGGTCTGCTGCAGTGGAATATGTTTTGTGCCTTCAAGGTCCCTCCCTTCTTATACAGTCAAACCTTGACTTACAAACTTAATCCATTCTCGAAGGACATTCGTAAGTCAAAAAGTTCATAACTCAAGTCAGCATTTCCCATAGGAATGGATTGGAAACCAATTGATCCATTTTGGCTGGTTCTGGTTCTTAGGTCCAGGGAGAGAGAGACAGAGGAAACCCTTGCTTTCTGCATCAAAAGCAGAGCCTGGGAAAGTTAGTTTTGGGGATCTAGGGAGTTGTCCGAAACCCCTAACTTTCTCCAGCTATGCCTAGAAAAGTCCTCCCATTCTTGGCCCTTCCTCCCCACTCCCCTATGCCAGTCTCTCCTGCATTCAGTCTGCGAAAGCAGAATCCTCCGAGCGGGTGGGTACGCGTGCACCAGCCAGCCAGTGATCAAGCAGCCGAGCAATCCAGGGAGGGAGGTTGGCTTTGGCAGCCGCAGGAATTCACCAGCCGGGGGGGGAGGGAACTGCTGCTGCTGCTGCTCCTCCGCGCCCTCCCTCCCCCCAAGCGGTGGCCCCACCGGTGGAGCTGGAGGGGGGGAGGACTTGGCTGCTCCTGTCAGGTCCCCTCCGCCCCGATCCTCCTGGGAGCCAAGCCACGCTCCACAGAGCTCAGGTCAGAAGGCAACGGGCCGAGCAGCCGCAGCTGCCTGCCTGGCCGCCACACAGGGTGCCGCCGGTTGACAGTCCACCCTGCCTTGGGAGCCTACTGTTGCACAGAGAGAGGGTCCCGGCAGCCAGCCAGTGATCAAGCAGCCAAGCGGGAGTTCTCCAGCCAGGCAGGGGAGGGCGCCGCTTGCTGCTGCTGCTCCGAGCCGCTGGTTGACAGTCCGCCCTGCCTCAGGAGCCTACCATTGCGGAGAAGGAGGGTCCCGCCAGCTCCAACGCCGGCGGAACCAACTGGGCTGCGTCCACAGTTTCTGTGCCCAAAGGACCACGTTTAGATCCACGTGGAAGGACGACGCCTGGTGCCCAAGAAGCCGGCCACTCATGCAAATCCACTGCGCACAGCATCAGTTTAATTAAAGCTGCCCTCCTCATCTCTTGTTGTCTTCCCCCCCCCCCGCGTTCCCTGTCAATTCGGAGGGANNNNCTCTATAAAATCGGCAGGAATCAACAGGAGGGGAGGAAAAGAGAAAGAATCAAAAGAGAGAGGAAAGGATGTGGTGTTTGTTCAGGAGACAAGCACCTTCTTCACTGGCCAACAGTTCAAATTTCACCACCTCCCGCACAGTTTTTCCATTTGTAACTCGAAGCAAAGTGCGAAAGTGAAGGCAATATTTTCCTATCACAGCGATTCGTATGTCAGAATGTTTGCAACTAGGGCCATTCATAAGTCGAGGGTTGACTGTACTCAGTCTCCTTAATAGAACAAGCACACCCAAGAGATTCCACTGCAAGAAGCAAGTCACTCCATTTGGATGCTCTACTCTTTTGCTCATTCTATTGATAAATGAGAGCTGCAGCCCTCATTACATACAATTTCCTTCTTCATCTAAAGGAGCATGGCCTATTTCCTTCTTCCATTAAGGTTTATTTGTCTTCCATAGTGGCACACCAACCCTCTGATTCCAGGGCATCACAGCTTTTCAAAAATTCAACTCAAGAAATTTTAATGGGAGCTATAACATGTCTTTCTTTCCAGACATTAGACAACCACCACATTGGTAGCTTTGTTTAGTGCTTAATCAGTTTACCAGGTCACTCTTTGAATCTATGGCTCCCTTGGACCAACATCTTGCCTACAAGCCAGACTTTCTGGTTGACATAATCTCAGTGCAGAGGGCAAATGAACTGTGCACTCTTCAGCATGATCCACCCTTTTAAAAATTTTACAAGGATAAGATCACTATTTTCACTGGCATTTCTTTCCTACCCTAATGTGATGTCAGATTTTCATACCAAATAGATGTTAGTCCTCCCAACCTTTTTTCCATCACCTACAACATTGGGAAAAGTCATTTATTCACTGAATGTATATAGAACTCTTGCTTTTATACTTCTAGAACCAAGCACTTCAGAAAGTCCAACAGATTATTATCTGTTACTGGGGTCTAAGCCAAACCAACATATCTCCCCACAACAGATTTTGAAGTGGACGGTTGGCATAATCAAGTTGTCTTACCAATTGACAAAGACTACCTGGGTCTCTGAAAGAAGGACATTCTAATAAGGTTGTTGCATCTTCCATAGCCTTTCTGAGTGGTGTAAACCAACTGGTGTCTGTAAAGCAGCAACCTGGTCTCAACCCTCAGTGTTCATTAATCAGTGCAGACTGGGCATCATTACATCATGTTTCATTCAGAAGAGCAATTATTCTGTGATTGTGTGACATTCCATGGACCAGTAAATATGCTTATCATTTATCCCATGTGTGTGATTTACAGAGACCATGAAAAACAAGAACAGGTTACTTACCATTAACTGTGCTTCTTTGAGTGGTAATTGGTGAATTCAAACAACTAATCCATCCTTCCCTTAGTTTGTCATGCTACTATTAGAGATGGGCACAAACTGCGGTTTAGTGGCTCGGCACGGTTCCCGGATAGATGTTCCATGGGTGCTACACACTTCCCTTCCCTACCTCCTCCTAGCGATTGCCCACTCACTGGCTTCCATCCTCCACCTCCTCCAGGTGATTACCCACTCAAAGGAAGTGCCACAAGCTTCCTTGCCCCACACCTCCTCATCTGAGTGGGCAGCCACCAGAGGTGGCAGAGCAGAGAAGTACATGACACTGTCTCTGAGTGGATGATCACCTGTTGGAGGCAGGGGAGAGAAACAAGCTGCTGCTTGTGAGTGGGCGATTGCCTGGAGGGGGAAGGGAAGCACACAGTGCTCATAGAACACCTGTGTGGGTGCTGTGCCAAAGCAAGCCAAACCGCAATTTGTGCCCATCTCTAGCTACTGTTGACACATCTCCAGTGGCTGACATGCAGAACTGAGAGAGAACCGCTAGGTGCAGAGACATGCACAGTGTAGGAGGGGCAGTCCTAACAGGCTTTTTTCTCTGAGCTCTACAATGAGGTTTCGGACAGATGCAGAAACAGCCATATGTGTGACTTCACAAATGACTACTCCAAAAATCACATACAGGTAAGCAACCTGTTCTTCACATGAATACTTCACTTGTCTTTGAATGTTATACAAGTGACAAACTGATATGGAGTGCAGCCTGTTGTTGGCCAAAATGCATAGATAAGGCAGCCAGAGTGCTTTCTGCTGCATGCTTTGTTGATCATTTTACACCAGTCTTGCACCAACTGCTTTGCACTTCCAGTTTGTTTCAAGATACAAACAAAAGGGCTTGTTTTTATTTTATTTTATTTTATTTTATTTAAAATATGTTTACCCCACCTTTCTCCTTAAAAGAACCTATAAACGGCTAAACAGCTTTGGGTCAGGATATCTGAAAGGCCATCTCCTGTATGAGTTTACCCACAGATTAACCTCTGCTTTGGAAGTCTTGTCATATATCCCATCATAAAAAAACCTAGATTGGTGGCAACACAGTTCAGGACCTTTTGCGAGCTGGCACCATAACTTTCAAACTTTCTCCTTGGGGATGTCAAACTACCTTTATTTTTATTTATTTTTTTGTTCAGTTTGCCATTACAGTCTTCTTCCCATGTGGCTTTTGGATCATTTAAAATGTAAATGTACTGGGTTTTTTAAAGGTGTGTTTTCTCTATTTTTTTCGAATACAAAATTTGTAGATTTAAGTGTTTTCTTAAAAAAACTTGGAAGTTGTTTCACAATTTCTTGTGGGGCCAAAAGTAAACTCAGAATTTTAAAGCAAATAACTCTATAAAACTACTTCCTTTGTTTTGTAGGTGAATGAAATAACTGTGGAACAACTAGTGCAGCAGCATCCACACATCACGTTCAGTACTGTGCTACAAGATTGCAAGCGGACCTTGGAACGGGCATACCAGATGGGCTGGACACCCAATATGTCTACAGCCTCTTAATTCATAGCAAAACATTAAATAGGCAGCAAAGTTTCACTGAATGTTTGAAAACTGTTAAGTTTTTTTAATTATCAATGTTATTGCTTTTTATTAAATCTATGTTCAATTTTAGTATAAAGTTTTTAATTTTGGATACATTCATATCTATATCTATTATATATAGAGTTTAAAATAGTGGGAATATCTGTTCAGTTTATTAATTAAACCATTGGAAGAGAAACCAGGTCAGAGACTTAATTTTTCTGAATGTTTCTATGTCAACCTAAACATCTGCAAGTGTCTAAGATTTTGCAGGGAGCATACTAGTTTTCTTGATGTAATATAATTGTAAGTTTACATAAAATAGAAACACTATTTGGATGTGTTTTTTTCCAACTGTAAATGCGTTATAGAAGAAACTTATTAGAGATTCATTGTAAATCCAATGTTTAAAGGCCTTTGGCAAATTTCTTGAAGTGAATTCCTGCTAGTTCTGTGGATAGCTTCAGTAAGTGATACGCTATGCCTTTTTCTTTCACATTCTTTATTTCTATGTTTCTTTTTTCTTTTCTTTCTCTTTTGGATTGGAAGTGGCAACTCCTTGCTTACACTCCACTTAAATTAGTGGCTAACCTTCATGCATCTGAATTGTATAAGTTGATGCTACCCATATCTGTGTTTTTGAGATGCAGAGTAACAATCCACAAACAACATTTTGAATACATTTTGTCAGCAAATCCTTAGCTTGGATAGAATCTTTAATAAGTGCTGAGCATGTTTTTAGTGCTGCCAAAGTGAGAATTTTGCCATGCAGTTCAGTCTGTTGTGAATAGTTTTTGTGGGGCAGGGGTTTAAGATGGGCTGCTTAAGTGGACATTTGGTGCTGATTATGCCTTTCATTAGAATTCTACATGTTTGCACCTTCTAGTTTTACAGTATATAGCTTCAATTTCATTTTAATTTCTGAAATTTTTAATAAACAAATCAATGAATGATTGCATGTGTAAAAAAAACAAATTACTGGTTCAAAAACAACTGGAAACCATGATCTCCCACCAGATGACTGAACTGCAGTAGGTCTCAGACTTGCGTCTTACCCTCTCAGCAGAATTTGAAACCCTAAGATTGGAAACATTTACCTCCACTATAAAACAACCACAGGTCCCTGTTACATCTGAATTTGTGGGACTGTGGTTAAACTTTGATTAGACATGCCAGAATAACAAAGGTAGATTGTCTTCTTGGTTTGTTCACTAACAATAATTTACAAAAACCACGTTCTCAATATTAGTGTAACAGAAGCTATGGTTTGCACGAAGAAATAAATGTTTCTAATCTCCCTCAGTGCCACATGAACAGGCAAGCTCACTGAAGCTTACTGAGAGAGCCCATGACTTACATCCCATCTGCCCTCTGCATAGATTTTCACACCCAGTTGCTTCCTACCATATTGTATACATATGGTACAGAATCTCCATCCTATGGGCATAATATGATTCCACTCTGTGCCCAGATCTGGTGCATGCTGCTTCCCCAGGTTGCTTACATCTATCCTGTGTCACATCCACACACATCCAATAAGACAAGTTACTGACAATGCCATAGGAAGTTATGGAAGTGAGATATCTAAATTCTAGCCCATAATAGTTGCTGGAGGAGTTAAATGTGGTGCTATCTTAGGGAGTTGGTGACACAGGCCATGGCCATACCTAATATCTGTGTCACAGGAAGAGATTAGTTCCCAACAACAACAGCTGTTTCTCCACCCCTGCTCTAGTCCACATCACACGCTACTCCCTGCTTTTTTCAAATGCATGCTACAGTGTTCAGTTTTTTTAAATCCTTACCCATGCTAAAACTGCATGTTGACACAGGGAAGAGCATGTTCAAATGCTTGCATGCAATTAAGGATTTAAAGATCATATCTGTGTTTAAAACTGTTAGTATGAACTGAACTATACACATAATAATGCACCAGCTACCTCTATTTGCTGATGTTTTCAAGAGCCACATTAGCAATTGTTGCCTCACAAGTACAGCCATGTGTGCACACTAATCTTTAAGCAGTGATGCATGTGCATTCATGATCTCACGGAGAAAAGTAAATTGGCTAAGACTACTCTTCCACTGCAGTCTTGTATTCTTCCTGGAAAAACAAGCCCAGTGAACTCAGTGAGGCTTCTAAAAGAGGTACATATAGAGGCATGCTGTTGTTCTTCCATCTTCACCCGATAATAAAGTAGAAAAATATTTTGATAGTAAAATTAAGGACCCACTATTAAAGTCTGGCCAGTTCAGAGTGACACTAGATTTTCCCCCCTCATGAGATAATCCCTCTCTCATGATACATTCAGATCAATGTATTATTTTATACTAGGCTGCTTGCTCGGGGGTGGGGGGGAGAATGCTTTCCCATCCCTTTGAATTATACTATATAACTTTTATATTCATATGCCACCTGAAGAAATCTACCTGAGTTTGGTTAAAAAAATTTGTAATCCAAAACAAATTTATAGAATATATGCAAAAAATAGAGAAAGAATATGTTAATGAAAGGGTTAATTTTATATGTGTTGAACTATACTGTGAAGGGTCACATTTCAGGACAGCTGACAAGCAGACACTGTGAACAGGTAGGGCAGTAAGTAACCTTTAGAATGCAACAATTTTATAAAGGGTGTTTTGTTTTTTAGATGTAACACTGCGTATTTGTTTTTTAAAGGTTAAAGTGTTTTAATCCAAAATATCAAATGTTCAGACTTGACCTGAAGAGATGCCATTATTGTCAAAATGTTTGGCTAATCTAGAAGACCTTAGGCAGCATAACTTGGAAAACAGCATTAGTGTGTTTGTATAAACCACATGTTCAATCTCAATAACATCAACCGCTGATAATGACAGAAAGAGATTCCTGTGTCATTTTCTTGAATGTTTGTTGAATGTTTTCTTATTAGTTATTTCAGACTGAATCTGTAAGTCTTTGGAGAAGAAAATACAGTGGATTTTGCTTGGCATGTCAGAAATATAGATGAATCTATGTAACCAGGATTTTTTTATCCCCTGGAATAGTGGCAGTATTTTCACAAATAAAGACAAAGAATGGAGAAGAAACTTGAGCATTCTTCACTATTAAGAACATTCCGATGACCATAATTAATGAACTTAATTGCCCCTTTTGATTATGTGCAGTAAAAGAGAGTAGCATATAATGGAAACTGGCATATCTGCTCTATTTCATGTAGGAATATGGTATTAGGAACGGAAACTAGGGAAGAAAAAAGCCTCACTGAAACAAGACAGTGCTGTTTCAGGTAAAGACTAGCCCAGTTCATCCTGGGCCAGAATTGGAGTCATGCTCACTTCTATGCCAGATGCACAAGCATGTATCTGTGCTCATGCATACACAGACACACATTATTTATTTCTAAAGGCATGCTTTACAGCCATTCTCCTTGGCTGCAAAGAACAAGCTGTCCTTGTAACTGCTTACAATTTGCTGTTGGAATTCAAACAATATGGAATTTGCAACCGGATTGTCTCCTGCATATCCCACCATATGAGGACTTTCTCTCTCTTTTTTTGCAGCACTCCCCATATCAGGCAGGCAGAGCACAGAAAGCAGAGAAATAGAACTGACTTGAATACTAAAATTGTCCAATTAAATAAGCAAAATGCACCCATTTCTAATATTCACTTTTCATATTCTTTGTAAACTTTTTATTCTGTAAGCTGTTCTTACAAGAATGTATCTCCATGATGTCATGAAGGTGGAGCTCCTTCAAAAAGTGCATATTCCTTTCCATACACCTGCTCCCCAGCTCTGAGTGATAACTGGAGTAGAGGAGCCATGTAACCTGACTCCAACTAAGGATTCTGCAGACAGTGCTGTACATTGTTTGTATTCTACAAGTTATTACAAAATGCTTTGCTCTTCTATAACACCCCCCTCTGCTCTGTGCCAGAATGACATGCTATGAACATGATACTAGCCAATGTTTTCATTGGTTGCCTTCCTTAATTTCTTGAATTAGATCTTCCAACTAGTTTATAATGAAAGCAAGGTGTTTTATTCTCTGCTGGAGAAATATGCTGTACTTGCTATTCTTACTTGAATTTATGATGTCTAAACATATGAAGCTGCCTTACCCTAATGTTTAGTCCAATTATTTCTTACTGCCATTGGTAGCAGGGTCTCAGGAGGTTACTTGTCTTTCATTAACCAGAGATACTAGGAACTGAATCCAACACCTCCTTCTATATGCATCATGTATGCTTTACTGCTCTATTTGCCCCTCAAAATTGTGTACTTCATGTATTCTAAACAAAAAGGATAAGTGATAACTGATTCTATCAGCTCTCCATCATTATGGAGAGACCTTCCATCTAGTCAAATATTATTTTTAAGAAATTCATTATTTAAAAACATGCTATTGCTCCTCTAGTCTACTTGCTTTGCCAAATACAATGTTGGTGTCTTCTGCTGTAGCTATTGTCATTTTGCTCTTTTTCTCAGTCTAGTTCCATCAGACTGCCTCTGTAAAGATACACACAGAAATGTCAGTCTTAACCTGTTGAGAACTTATATAGTTGCGAATGATTGCTAAGTTCATTATGCCTTGTCCTTCATACATACTTTCATATGTATCTGCTTTCATTGCAGAGATGTTTAGATGTTTCTAAATAAATCTGCAAAGCTTCTAATAATTCCAGCTATTTCACCTTTCTAGCTGTGGTTATCATATCGTAATAGAAAGAGACCATTTTCAGAAAACTTGCTGGCTAAAGGACAACTAATTTCACAACTACTAATACAAAGCTGCACAGATCCAATAAATCTTGAAGGACCTCAAAATACTGCTCAGTCATTACTAGCACTCTTGACAATCTCAGCTTGCTCAAATACTCACTGACAGCTTCAAGAAAAACTCATTGCAATCTAGCACAAAGTATGGGTTTTGTACGCTTTTAAAAATGTTTCTGTTCTTAGAACCTGCTCTTTTCATTCTGCAATCTGATTTTAAATTTTGTTTATGAAGCAAAATTTCTCTTTTTAGATGATGCTATCTCAGCAGCCATAACTGGAAAGGAAGACACTGTTTATATATATCAATAATTCATAAGGCTTGTTTTAACATGCTTTTACTGTCAAGTGTTATTTACACTTAATAGAGCACTGTTTCTAGATATGGAATCAGTGCTTTAATGAGCCTGAAATCTTATTTTAAGTGCTGTTACCATATAAGGGGTGGATTAAAAAATCATGGCAATTATGATTTTAGCTGATTATGCCTACTTTTAGACATAATCAGCTTAATAGAATACAGTACTGGTTTTTGATATGTGCTTTGTTAAAATGTCATGTTCAAACCTGGCAGGAGCACTCTTGTTGTATTGGAGGAGAAACACGCTAGAGTATTAGCTTCTGCTGGGTTTGAACATTATAATAATGTGTAGATTACAGTACTGTGGTTTCTTTTAACCATTCATGGTAGAAGTGGGAATGACAGGCAACGCACACTGTTCATGAACTACATGCCTGGGTTCCACAAGCACTTGAACACATCTTTCAGATGGTATAGGTAGTATTAATTTGCTCTGAAAATGGCAGGGGTGTGCTTTGTTATCCTGTTACTTAAAAAAAAATTGAGAAGTGTGTCTATATGGTTACATAGACCAAAAATAATTAAATCAAACTCAAAGAAACAGTGTCAAGTTTTGTATCTGCCCTTGAGACTCCAGAGTGAGCTAGATCTTCCTGTTAGTAATTTGTTCTTCTTCTTAAACACTTTCCTTTTGATTGAACCTTGTGTGTTCACATCCAACCAGTTTGCTTTTGAGTAAACTGGAAGGTAAGCCATCAGAGGTTCAGGTTAAAAGGAAGGAGTGGGGAGACAGAACAATTATTTGATGGGCTTCCAAATGTTGTATAACTGGATGCATAAGGCTGTGTCCAGCAGAATACTGGCAAAAAAGTATAAAAAGTGGCATTAGTGTTGCATATCACAGGAACAACAGCATAAATGCTACCCACATAACCATCATAGCACCTAATGAATGGAATGGAGGTGAAATAAGATGCAAAAGTGTTTGTGGCATTGATTCTGTAAGTAGAATCAGAGAACTGGGCTGTATATTTGCACAAGGATGAAAATCAGTTTACCAGAAACAATAGAAGCTTTGAGTTTATGGATTAACACCATTGGATAGAATCTATATAAAAGGTCAGTGATGACTTCATGTATAACAACATCTGAATCTATGCACTTTTTAAAAATTAAATACGAAATTTATATAGTGAATATGATTATTGGAAAAGAGCACATAAAGAGTAAAGGAGTAGAGGGTTTTAGCCAAAATTAAGGTATTTCTCTAAACCTTCAACACACCTGTGGTCTTTCCTTCCTATAAATATGATCCAGCCACTATATAATCTCTTCTCTATTGCACAGATTCAAGTGGAAACTGGTGCAGAGCTAAAGACCAGGTGATGTTCTTTTACTTTATTTTTCCTTATTTTTTAATAGTATGTGTACCTCATTTCTCCCTCAGGGAGAAATTTAACAATGAATAACAAACTTGCAATTTAAAAAAAAACTCAAAAGAAGGAAGAGAATTGTAAGCAGCCTTTTAAAAGAGGAAAGTATTTACCTACTTCCAGAATATCAACAATTAATATATGAGATGGGCTTCCTTTTGGAAGGGAGTTCAAGAGCCTAGATATCTACAGCCACCAGAAATGCCTGCTCCTAAATTCTAAGCAGTTATATTGCTGAGATTATAGGGTCATAAGAAAGGTGGAAAGATTGATCTCAGTAGAAACATGGAAGAAGGTAGTCCTTCGGATTTATTGGCTGAAATCTTGTTGCTTTGTGACGTAAGTAAGTCACATAGTAGGCCTACTTGAATCAATAGAACCTACGCAGTAGTGGACTCACCAACCCATTGATTCAATAGGCCAACTAGTGCAACTTACTATGTTAACCAACAGAACTTCAGCCACTGGTTACTCAGCTATTCAGAGCTTTAAAGGTCAGCAGCAGCACTTGAATTGCATCCAGATCCAAACTGGAAGGCTGTATAGCTCTTTCAGCTACAAAGCAACACGCCTCTTCATGCAGCTCTTCCTAAACATTGGGCCACTGAAATCTGAACCCATGATAATTTCTTAATGGTGTTTCAAAGGCATTCCTATCTAGAGTGCATTGCACTATTTCAGACATGGGATAAATGAAGAACATGTTGCACTAATCTAATAACTTTCTGTTTCATAACTAATCTTGCATTTTTAAAAAGCAAGAAGACTGGCTGATACCATTACCAATCCGTGGGATTGGTGAATGGACTAAATATTTAACTTTGAAGAATGGAAATTACATAACATGTACAAAAAAAGAAGAAAGTGTATTAAAAACTCCTCCTGCAAAATATGCTTCAGTGTAAGGCAGTGGGAAAGATTACAGTTTGAGTAATTGGCAGCCATCTACAGATACTGAGAAAGATAGTAAAATCAGCATCCAGTGAGATCAACCCCACTTCCTCAAATCAATCCTAGAATGCTGCAAGCTCCACCCCAGAACTCATTCTAATCAAGAGTATGTGGTTTCAATATCTGGCCAAGATTAATTTTGAGATCTCTTAGTTCCCCTCCCTAACTTTACCAGCTTTGCAATGTCTAGCTTGAATTGAATAAGAGTCCTGTAAGAGAACTCAAAATCTACCCTGTTTCTGAGATTTTAGTGGTCTCGTACAACAGTCTCCCCCACCCCCACATAACCACAGGTGATCTGGTTCAGGATCAACCACAGATCTCTGAAACTGCGGAAATAAGGGAACCCATTAAATTGAATGGGTGAGAACGAGAGGAGGGTAAAGGCTGAGAGGAGAAGGTAAATGCACACATGCACTGCATGCTGGGTTGCACCAGTGGCAACAGCAGATATATGAAACCGCAGATACCAATTCCACAGATACGGGGGGACGATTGCAGTGGTATCACCCAGTCTTGCTTCTGCATTTTCCATAAAACCCTGTCGTTTTGCATTCCAGTTGAAGGCTTGGGCGAACCTTTGTTATGAGGCCCTTTCTGAGTAAATGCCCTTCCCACTCGGTGT